ACACTTTTATGAATGTATTCCAAGACATTCATAGAGGATATTGAGACCTCCATTGCCCCCATTTGAGAACACGACCTCTTAATGCTCCAATCGCTTTCAACACCATCAATGACTTTGGCATTTCACTTTCTTTGAAAAATTTCTCAAAATAAAGAATCCACCAATAGGTCTCATCTTCCCCATCAAATAATAATATTGTCATGAGTTCAAGCGGAAGTGAGATCAAAAATAAAAGTATCAATTGTTAAGATGCTAAAATAAGAACTCTAATAAGACTAATAAAAGTTGTAAATTCTACGCTAAATAAAGAAAAATAAAGCTAGCTAAAAAAATAAACTTTTTCATTTCATTCATGTGCTACATGAGAGGATAATGCACTTGTTATATATTATTCTTAACAAATGCTAACCATCCAAGTGTCTCAATCTTAAGGGTCCTAAAAATATTCTAGAAAATATAGTAATATAAAATAATTCCTAATACATCAAAATACTAATAAAACTTATTTAACTAATAATAAATTATTCTATTAAAATCTCTATTCAGATAGTATTGGTGGAACATAAGAGAGATGGAAGAAATTGTGCACTCTCTTGACTTTAGATATATGTTGTTCAGTTTTCTTTACAAACTCCTCATAACACTTTCATCAGATTTGTAAGTTAAGTTAGGTCATGTATGGCTAGGGATGTAAATGGATATCCATGGGGACGGATACTATGATATCTGTATCCGCCCCGTTAGATAAATATGATATTCATATCCGCCTCATATCCATGCGGATATCCGTTAAGCGGGTAATCCGCAGATTTTACGTTATCTACGGATATTTACAGATATTTATGGATAATATTTTGTTTATAAATATTTTAAAAATATATATATTTTAAACTTCTTTTAAAGACACAAAAAATTATTATCACATAACATACATATAATTCGCTCTTAATTTAATAATAAAATTTCATCACATTAATTTTCTTTTTATTCACCAAAATATAATTAGATCCAAACATAATATTCATACATTTCATTTTTAACCAAACAAATAAAAGATATTGTGATAATGAATTATGACGGGAAGATCGGACGACAGAGGACCAGAAAAGAAGACACTGGTTCGATAAAGAAATGACGATATTAGTTGGTTGGACTGACAAGTTGATGAAATGAGGTATGAAATATCGAATAATTTTAATATGAGATGACTAATAGAATTTGAATGAAAAGTGAAAGGCTTTTTTCAAAGAAAATTTCAAAAAATGAAATAAGAATAAGAAGACTAATTTTTTTAGAATATGAAAAGATAAGATATAATAAACTAATGATATTTAAATAATTTTTATAATTTATAAACGGATATGGATATCTGCGATACCCGTCTCATATCCGTGACGGATTTTATCCATAGATATCCGCGGGTACGGATTATTTTTGCCATCCTTATGTATTGTCCGCTATAAATTGATTTTTTTCTTCTGTTTTATATTTATTTGTTTATTTATTTTCAATTTTATCATAATTAATGTATCATTTCTTATTCCCTAGGTGAAATCAATAAATATTAATTTTTTTAGACTTTAATGAAAGTAAATTTTTTAAACTATAATCTATGTGAAATAGATTTTGTCTATTTTATATTCTACATGCCAGCAACAGACTTTTAGATTTTGTTTTGTGAAGATGATTCATAGATGAAATATGTGTTTTTGACACTAGAAAATGACCAGGTTGATTATTTTACTCACTCTAACTTGCTTTCATTGTTCAATTACTTACAACTTATTACAAACAAAGAACATTAATGAGAAATAATCGCTCAACGTGCATGAAATAAATAACTCATTATTTAATCCAATTAAATAAAAATAAAAAAGAACAGGAAGAAAAGCAAAATATAAATGAAACGACCCAACACAAAATGTAGAAAATATCTTCTTAAATATTTAATTTAAGGTATACTCCCCATTACCTTTGAATTGAGTATTAAGACCCTCATTTAATTAAATAATCACATTCATTGCATGTCACCATTTTTTAAAATATATGCTAATACCAATATCATAAATTGCAAAAACTATTCTTTTTTTATTTATTTATTGTTTTTTTATTTATTTATTGTGTGAGAGAGAAATCACATATTACAAAGTTTATTACTACTTTTGTAGTGCCTTAACGTTTTGTTTTGGTAAGGGACACGAGTGAACAAAGGAGAAGTTAAACCGCTTACTAGCGGTGAAAGAGCTTCTATATCGAAGTTCAACATCTTTCTGACAAAGACGACGCTAAATAGAGTTTGTTATTCACAGAACTACCACTACTTGAGCTTACACCCGGATTCTTACAATAGTTTCATTTCCAGTATTCTATAAAAGAAAAATACAAATCCGTTTTTATATTCCTTATAGCACGGGTATAGATTAACTCACGGGATTAACTTATTAAGTTATATTAATATCAGAATCGGGTGTCAAAGTCATTACCATTCAAGTCTCAAGCTTCCGGCAACCAATTATCCCAAGGTAGGTGGAAAATTAATTCTGGATGGAGCAATAATATTTAATTTAAATTTTTTATTTATAGGGAAGTAGCTCCAGGAGTCCAGAGAGCAAGCAGCCAACGGTCGGAAAATGTTCTAGACTAGCGTGACCGGAACCTCTGAGGATAGAAAACCCGCTGCTTACCATATTATGCTAGCAACTTCACACCGACAGAGAGCAAAGATAAGGCGGAAGAGGCCCTCGAGAGACCTTCCCAGTTAGTCAATTAAGGCTTCCCACTAGGGAGGTCTGATCTTCTTAAAAAGATACAAAGGAAAGATTCAACAGGTTGCGGTTCACTTAACATTTTCTATATATCTTTGTCTTCATTATCAGCTGCATGTCGTCGACGTTATATCCACTCCACACTGACAAAGCTAGATTTTCGTGAGATCACCATCGGCTTGTTGAAATCGAGAAAGGTCACTCCGTCAAGCTTTTTTCTTATATACGATACCCTTTGCCATGGCCCCAGGAGGATGCTACTCCTCTTTTCTATTCTTTGACAGATTACTTGCCCCGGGAATGCTTGCTGTCAGCAGTTAAGGGACAAAGGGAAGGTGACAAAGGTAATCCTACTACGGCACTAAGACTAATTCAGTCTATTCCGCTAATGTCCGAAAGAATTAGAATATCTTAATTACAGCGTAAAGAGCTGAACTTTCTTCAGTCTCTTCCCTACAATCCCAGGGGCATCATAAATAGTACTTGCTACTCCTACTTTTTCCACTTCGCATATGGTCTTTATATTCTCTACGGCGTCAACCATAAGTTTGATTACATCACGTTCACTTTGAGCTGGAAAGTAAATTAGGTTTTGCTATTCCTTCTCGAACTTCTTTCATATCTTAAAGGAGATTCGGGAAAAGATAGAATAGGAAGACGTGTTTCCAAAACAAACAAGATACGGGTTGAGAGGGGGAAGTTAGCAAAGTTAGACAAGATTGGAATGGGCATCCCCCCCTATAATTTCATCGTGGGGGTAGGGATAGGGGACAGGGGATGCTTGATTAGCAGCTTCCTGCATAACAGGAAGAGCGGGAGGCATAGCTTGTTCCCCCAAAAGCAGTTGATTAACCGTTGAGGTACTTCTAAGAAGGTTTATCATCCTGTTGTTAACCGTTGAGGTACTTCTAAGAAGGTTTATCATCCTGTTGTTGCCATATTTGTTGCCGCTATTCTTTTTGCAATTTAATTTTATGTGGGAATTAACCGTTCTTCAAATAGCCGTAAGCGGTGGTGGTGAAGTCAGTTAATCAAACTCGATTGTGCTAGAATTTGTTGTGGGACTTGAGCTTGTGGCATATCGATAATATGAGTATGCATCGAAAAATATAACTTTCGATTTCATATCCAGAAGAACGGCATGGAGGATTTCTTCTAGTAAGATGGCAGGCAAAGTCTAGCAGGGGCAAGCCTAAACCTCTACTTCCACCGTTGCAGCCTATAACTCTAAAGTTAGTTTTAGTTGAAAATGTCACTTGCCCAACTCTTCAATAAATTTTTCCACCGTTGCAGCCTATAACTCTAAAGTTAGTTTTAGTTGAAAATGTCACTTGCCCAACTCTTCAATAAATTTTTTTAATGTTTTTTTGCGTGTGCGAGAAAAAAAAACATACAGCTGATTTAGACGCTAATAAGAGATTATTGTGCTGGTCTAAGTTGAGACCCAACCTGTAGACCGAATCACCCAAAGTACGGGACAAAGTGCAGTGAGCCATGATTGACTGATAAAACACTAAGAGCCTCTATAAAGGACAAGGAATAAAATTGAGAGTTTGCTATATGGTCAACAAGAACAAAATTTAGAGTATATTATTAGTTCTATATCGGCAAAAACACTTAAAGAGGCACTACAGAATCAGTTGTGTAGTGATAGGTTGTCACAATTCAAATTGCATTATTCGACAAAATTCTGCTGAATCCCAGCCACTGAAACGTTGATCCCAAATGGAAATAACTCACAAATAGGAATAGCCTATAAACGGGTTCCTCGACCTCTCTAAAACGCCTAGACACGTATTAGTACATCCAAATGTAACAGAAGTATTAGAACACACAAGCAAACGGGCCTCTAAAGTGCCTTGGGAAAACGAACCAACTGACAAGAAATCAGAACCACCACCAAATTAACATGAAAGACATTATCTAATCGCATTTGGCATAGATGTTATCACAACCATCTAAAAACTTCACACCAAAACGCATTCAAGACGAAAACATAATATCCCCTTTTTACCCAAAAGTACTACAAGAACAAGTAACAGCACATAATTCATATAAAACTAGACAACAGCAAGAAACATGTTAAATTGGGCGTAGAAAGCCTAAAGTTCTGAAGATAATGTATGAGTAACCATTGCAATTCTCAATATCAAAAGTGAATCCATAAACTATTCCTTATGAATAATCAAATCCACAAATCCTACAACCTGTTAGATAGACTAGGTGAAAAAACACTCAAATTCCAAAACCAAAAACAGCACGTATCCTTTGGAAAATATGTTCCCGCCATCCCCTTTCAGTGTTCTCCACCACAGTGGCATTCCCATACCTGCATCCAAAACCAACCATATCAGCAAATTGCCCAAAAAATATATAAAAAGAACATTCCAATCATTCAACAAAACATAATCAATATTCAAAACACTCACCTATCTTCCTCAGGCACATCAGTATGTGTCAGCTTAACAACAGTAACCCCTGGTTCAGGTTCCTCAAAAACAAGCTTCACCTGCAAAAACAAACCATCCTTCTATCACTACATTTATTCAACATACAATGACAATTTCAAAGAAAGTCGTCAATTGCAATCTAAACATGCGCAATTCAGCCATGAATAATGTGACATCAGCAAATTCTTCACAAAATCAATTATCATTAGGGTTAAATCAACCTGGTAGTCTCTCACATTATCAAAATTCAAAAATAATCATGAAACTGCAAATTATGCTAATCAAGTTCGTCTCTATTAAATGCATTCTAACATTATTCAAACCAAAACTATATACCTGCGATTGAACACCATCGGTCCAGCTCCCAAATCTCCACCTCTGCACAATCAACTTAGCTTCTTGCAACTCCAAATTACTTCCAGTAACAGACCCATCAAAAATACTGAACTCACCACCAACCTCTTTACTAATCTTAGCATTGCTCTGTGTAAAACCCTTCCACCTATTCTCATCCATCAAAATCTCATACAAATCCTTCGCCCTGCAACTAAACTTCTCGGTCAACACAATATTCTTCCGTCCTTTCTTACCCTCCTTCTTCTTCTCCACCACACCCTCCTTCTTAACAGAATCACTCTTCGCAACCGTCGCAGTCGCCACCGGAGCATGATTTTGCTTCAGCGGCTGCGGCAAGGGCTTCTTAGTATCCAACTCCTCTTTAACAGGACCACCTTTCGCCATACTCTGAACCCAAACCCTAACCTTCTCCAAAATCAATCCCTTCCCTTTAGAAAACATCGCATCCTTAATCCTCTTCCCAATCGGTCCTTCATCTTCAACCGTAACCCTAATATCCGGATCCTCATCCGCGTTCTCATCGGAGATGTAAGGGATTTCAACAGTACCGTTAACTTTAAGCAACGAATTACCTTCGGAGTCTTTCGCTTCACCTTCCCATGAAACTGTGAGATTCACCTCGTAGCCGGGAATGATTTTCCCCTTACGGATGTTGATGTAGGCTTCGCCGTCGAGGTTGCGGAGCGCGGTGGTTTTGATGAAGAGGTTACCTTCGCCGTTGAGGATAACAAGATTTGAAAGGAGGTTGGTGAAGAAGGTTCTGGACCATTCTAGACAGTTGGTTTCGGACCAGTGCCAGTTGTGGACGTTAGTGCCGTCGGGTCTTTCCTCCACGATCCACCGTTTATCTCCCTCGCCGTATTTCGCCATCCGACGGTGATAGATAGATAGTGTCTCAGTATGTAACTAGGAATGAGAATGAAGTTTTAGTGAATGTGTTTTTCGGAAAGATGTAGAGAGAATGGTTTGATATAAAGATAGAATGGGGGAGTGCTTGGAAAGGTCTAGAAGGAAGAATGAAATTCGTGTTTTACGGGTTGAGATTTGATTTGAGAATGAGAGGAATAGAAGGGTCTAGAAAGTAAAAGACAAATATGATATTGGTCCGCTTTATTTATATAAAGAAATTAAGAAATATTCACACACACTCTTTCAAAATTTCAAGCAGTATCTGAGTTTTTGTCTATTACATTGAAATTTATTGTTATAATATATTGCATAAGAGTTATCTTCATGTTTATCAAGCTTATTCACACTTGCCACTTTGAGAAACTCTTATTCAAAATTTTGTTAAGAGTTAGTTTGAATTTATATTTTTAGAAGCTAGTTGGTTGTCTAGATTAATATATAAACTTGTTGTAATTTCATTTGTTCTCTTGAGTTGAATCAATGCAATATCAACTTCTTCTTCAATTGTTCTTCTTCTATTTCTTCTTCTCCATGAGTATCTCAATATTCTAACATGGTATCATTCGCTATTTCGATTCAACCTTACACTTCCGCTCCATTTCAACCTATAATTTTATGCTTAATCTTTTTCATCAATAATGCCACCATGAAATGCTCTACTTCTTGGTCCACGATTTGATCAAACTAGTCCATATTTCGTGAATCCAAATGATGGACCTAGTTCAGTCAAGGTTACACCTCTTCTCAATAATTCTAGTAATCATTCTTGAGCAGGATCAATGTGGCGTGCACTTGGTTCTAAGATGAAACTAGAATTCATTGATGGTTCCATCACAATTCCAGACGATTTTTTTGATCCAATCATGCGTGCTTGGAACCGATGCAACTTGATATCCTTTAGTGGATTTTCAATTCAGTTTTTGGATATATTGTTCGATAAATAGTTTACATGGAAAATGTCATTGATGTATGAAAAAATCTCAAAGAAAGATTTTCACAAGGTGATCTTATTCGCATTTTTGAACTTCAGCAAGAAATGTATACTTTGAAGCAAGATTCGAAATCTGTTACAGTTTTTTCAGAACTCAAAATTCTTTGGGAAGAATTAGAGATCTATATGGCAAATCCAAAATGTGTTTGTTGAATCAAATGTTCATGTGTAACTATGAGGAATGCACAAGATAATCACAATTTGTTATAAGTTATTTGTTTCCTCACATGTATGAATGAAAACTTTATTGTAATGAAATCATAAATTCTCTTAATGGGACCTTTACTAACCATGAGCAAGATCTTTTTTATGGTGTTACAACATGAAAGGCAAGGTAAATTTGCTCCCTCTGATGACTCTCAAGCTTTAATTAATGTTGTATGCTTCAAAAGGTCAGGTCCAAAATCGGGCAATTCCAACTTTTAATCCAATGTATCCAAGTCCAAGGCGTGTACTCACTGTGGAAAAACTAGTCACACTGTCGAGGTTTGTTGTAGGAAGCATGGTTTTCCACCTCATTTTGGTAAAAGATCCATGGCAAACAATGCTCTTTCAAGTGAAAATAAAGATGACAATAGTACTTCTACTCAATAATAAGCTAACAAGTGTGGTTTTGCATCAATCCACTTGCATTATACCAGATAATGCCTTATGACATTTTTTATTAGGACACCTTTCAATAAATAGAATGCAAGCTTTACATTCCACTTTTCCTTTTATTGTCGCTGATCAAAAAGTTGTCTGTGATGTATGTCGTTACGCTAAACATAAGAAATTGGCATTGAATTCCAGTTTTAATAAAGCTTCTCAACCTTTTGAATTAGTTCATTTTGATGTGTGAGGTCCATTAGCTATAAAATCTCATAATGGTCATTCTTATTTTTTGACTGCTATAGATGATTTCAGTAGGTACACATGAATAATTTTGATGAAAACTAAAGCTGAAACCAGACAAAATATGGTCAATTTCATTAAAATGGTTAAGATCCAACCTAACACCAATGTCAAAACCCTTAGAAGTGATAATGGACCAGAGTTTATCATGCCTTAATTTTATGCCTCAAAAGGCATTTTTCACCAAACAAGTTGTGTTGAATCCCCCCAATAAAATGGCATGGTGGAGAGGAAACACCAACATATATTAAACATTACTAGAGCCCTTATTTTTTGAGCTAATATTCCTAAAACCTTTTGGCCTTTTGTTTTCAGTCATGTTGTATTCATCATAAATTGAGTTCCAAGTGTTGTATTGAAGAAAAAATCACCCTATTACCACTTATATAATGAGGACCTTGCCTTGCATGTTTTAAAAATATTTGGAACACTTGCTTATGCTTCAACACTTCAAGCACATAAAACCAAACTAGACCATAGAGGAAGAAAATGCATTTCCCTAGGTTACATGCAATGGGTAAAAGAAACAATTGAAGGTGAGATAATACTTAGAATGGGGGGTTGAATAAGTATGAAAGATTAAGACTTAAAAAATAATCACACAATTATTTTTATCCTGGTTCGTTTAAACAACTACTCCAGTCCACCCTTCCTAGAGTGATTTGCCTTTCTCAACAAGGACTTAATCCACTATTAAATCAAACTGATTACAATAGTAACACCTAAGAACAACTGTTCTTAGTCTTCTCAAGAGCTACTGATTCCAACTAAATCCTCTTAAGGAAAACCTTTACAATCAATGTAAATTAAATACAAGAGTATTAATGCTTCTATAAAGCTTTTATCACAACAGTGATTTTTCTCTTAAGTTTAAGTACAAGAAATTCTAAGAAGAATATGAAATAATGAGAGCTTAGAATAATATGATTTCTTTTCAGCAAATTGTGTCACTGAAGAATGTGGTGGAGTTCTCCTTTTATAGGCAACTGATCCAAGGATGCTGAGCGTTGAAAAGAGAGTCCCAAAAAGGTCTGAGCCTTTTTGTCTTCACATCAAGTGACCTTTCCTTGAAATAGATAACACAGAAAAATCCTTTTTGTCTGTGTAATTGTGTCTAGCACAAATAAGGAAAGAGACGTTGATTTACTCCAACGGATATATTCTTGAATATTTCTTCTTCAGTTTTCAGCAAGTTCTTCAGAGTCTGAATGGATCAGAGTCTTCTAATGATATTCAGAACTTTGTTGTATCAGAGTCTTCTGCAGCATGTGTGCTTTCAGCGTGTTGATCATCAGAGCATATTTGACACAGAACTTCAGTACTTGGCAGCGTTGGTACTTTCAGAAACTTCTGTAGAATTATGCTTTGAGAAACTCTTCAATCAATATTCTTCTTTGCTTCAGATGCTTCAGCTTCAGATGTTTCTGACTATCTTCAGATGCTTCTGACTAGCTTCAGATGCTTCTGACTCAGAATGTTCTGGAGCTTCTTGCTTCAGATCCTTCTGGAGACTACGCTCAGGATCTTCTGTAAAATGCATCTGGCGCTTCAGAGTCAGGATAACTTCTTGTATACAATACAGATTTGCTTCTAGAGAGTTAATTTCATTTCAATCTGCAGTAAAACTCTAAAACAAATTTTAGAGTATATAATTCTTAAATATAAAATTTCCTAACAGTTATCATCAAAACAAAGAGTTATTATTAAGAACCAATCTGTGTTCTAACAATCTCCCCCCTTTTTGATGATAATAAAAAGTATCAGAAATTTTATTTAACTGAACCTAAAGAATTATAACTCCCCCTGAGATGATGAATCTCCCCGTGAGTTAAATATGAAAAAGGAATAGAAACTTCCCTTTTGTCTTGAGTAATCTTCAGAGTTAGATCTTGTTTGTTCTTATAGCATTTTAGGGTCAGAATGTCTTGCAGATATAAGATTCAAAGTTTGATAATAGACAAATGATCTGAGAGACTCAGAGTTTCTTTTATAGAATGTTCTTATCAAATGTTCTGAAATAGTCAAGTTAAATGTTAGATAGAATAGATATGTCTGAAGATTCATTCTGGTGAAGTTATATTATACAGTTCAGATCTATATTTTCTCCCCTTTTTTTGTCATAAGCAAAAAGTAAAAACTTTTAAAAAGACAAATAAAAGGAACAATAAATAAGATAATTCAATGGAGAAAACTGATTCATTCAAAAGATTAGAGCAAGAGTACATAGGTAATCATCAGAAGATGTAGCAATAAAGTTCAGATGCAAACAACAGATGCAAAAACATTAGAATGAAGAAAATCTAAGAGTGTTTGGACAAAAGCATCTTCAATAGATCTGTAATCTCAGAGGAGGATTGCTCTTGCTTGGACATCCACTTAGTCATAGTTTCATTCTTCTCATCTTGCTTTGACATCCATTCTGTCATATCCTCAGACTTCTTATCCTGCTTAGCCATCCAGGATTTTATCTCTGACTGTCCAGCCTCCAGAGCAGCAATCTTGTCTTCAAAGTCTGGATGTTCTGTCTTTATCTCAGATGAAGAAGGTGGAGGTTCTGCAGCCTGAACAGAGTCAATTGTCATTGGTTCTGTAGATCCTGAAGAGGGTTCTACCAGAGTCATAGTCAATGCATTAGCAGTAGATTCTGTTGAAGGTGGAGGAGCATCTAAGCGAAGCAGAGGTTCAGTTTTGTTGACAATCCAGAATAGAGTCCTTTCAGCTCTGAGCTTTGCATCATCAGAACCGACGTTCTTCAGATTTGAAGCTACAGTGTTGAATCTATTGATGAATCCTTTCCAAATGATGTCAGATTCATTGGCATCTATTGTTTCAGAGCATTTCTTCTGAACAGTACCTAAAGACATCTGTATTTCTTGCAAAAAAGTTTGAAATAAATGATCAATATTAAGTTTGGGTTGTGGTTTAAGCAAGGTTTCCAGAGTTATATGTTTAGGTTTGGGAGTTGGTGGAAAAAGTGATTTTTGGATGGAAAACAAAGGAGGAGGATAATATGGAATGAAAGGAATTTCTGGTTTTTGAGGTAGGGATCTGTTTAAAGCATTAAGCAAATGAGGTT